GCGAGTGCTCGGGGGGGGGAGCAGGGGTTTGGGCAGCACGGCGCTCGAGGGGGTTGGGCGGCCCGGACCGGCCCTGCACAGCGCTCGGGGTTTGGGCGATGCGGAGTGGCGCTCAGGGGGGTGGGGGTTTTGGTGGCGCGGCGCTCGGGGGGGTTGTGCGGCCCAGTGCGGCGCTCAGGGAGGCTGGGGATTTGGGCGGCCCGGCACAGTGCGACGCTGCGGGGGGCAGGGTTTTTGGCGGCGCAGCGCTCGGGGGGGGTGTTACAGTGGGGTGGCGCTCTTTTTTTTTGCCTGGGGCGGCAAAAAAGTTAGAGCCGGCCCTGCCTACTCAGCTTGACTAATAAACCGTAACTCCTACTCAAATGTGTGTGGCCTAGTAGATAGTGCACTGGGTTGAGACACAGGAGACCTGGGTTTTACTCCTAGCTCAACTGCTGGGTGACCTTGGGCAAGTGGTTTCACCTCTGGGCTGTGCTTTCCCCACCTGCTAAAGGTTTGATAATGATGCTGGATGGGTGGCGGGGGGCAGTCAGGGCAGGGGTTCCAGGGGCGGTCAGGGGACAGGGAGAAGGGGTGGTTGGATGGGGCAGGGGTCCCGGGGGGGGTAGTCAGGAATGAGAGGAGGGGTTGGATGGGCAGCAGGGGGCAGTCGTGTGGGGGTTCCAGGGGCGGTCAGGGGACAGGGAGCAGTGTGGGGTGGATGGGACAGGGGTTCCAGGGGGGCCGTCAGGGAACAGGGGTAGGGTGAGGTTGTATGGGGCAGGAGTCCAGAGGGGGGGCTGTCAGGGGGTGAGAAGGGGGGGCAGATGGGGGGGCGGATAGGGGATGGGCCATGCCTAGCTGTTTGAGGAGGCACAGCCTCCCCTAACCGGCCCGCCATACAATTTCTGAAACACAATGCGGCCCTCAGGCCGAAAAGTTTGCCCGCCCCTGCTATAAGAGCTGGGAATTATTACTACTGACTGTCAGGACACCCATTGAAGTCAAGGCTCACGAAAGGCATTTCCTTGACACAAAGCTCAAATCATAATTTGGGGTCATGCAGAAAGGGCATACGGGAAAAGTTAATGGACTTAGAATTTACAGCTGGAAATGAGCTGATCTGTTCCTTTCTAATGCAGTTTTCTTTGCATTCGTGAGTGCTATATCTAGTGCTTGGTCTATTCTTAAATGTTCCAAAATGTAGGACTTCCCGTCATAGATATCAGTGAATTTATACTTGGGCTTTGTTTGCTGTAATGGATGGTTTTATTTTTCCACACCTACACAGATGTTGATGTTTCCCGTGGGTTTTCAATTGGTTTAGCCAGTGGCATCTGAATCTATCAGCTCAGATTGCTTCTATGTGAGCAGGCAGATCTGGGAAATATTTCAGTGGAACGAGCCTCAGCTGCAAATATGAGACCCAGATTTTGGTCTGGATTTTAAAAACACCCTTCTCCCCTCAGGCATTTAGATTTGGAATTTCAGGTCACGCCTGTTGCTACTCACAATGGATTAATGCATAGCCATTATGGACCAGATGATAGCAAAAGATGGGTAGATTTTAAACCAAGTCAGCAGCTATAGTTGAGTCGAGATTTTCAAAAGGCCTCAGCCCAGCAGGTTCTATTGTGACACTTTGGTTGCAAAAAACCCTTTGAAAATCTGGCCCTAAATTAATGGCTAATCTCTTTCCATAGGAGCTCAGGTGGTTTTTCCACACTCGAAAGCAGAAAATTTCACCTTTTTGGGGGGCCCTGGAAAGAGGTGAGCCATAAGGCAGATGGGTTGTAGAATCATTCAAATAACACATTGTCTTCGAGGTGGCATGAGATGATGCACAGAAATTAACAATCGTGATCGGCAGTGCTTTCTTGGGAAAAGATTGCTCGTGCTACCCACCTGCCAGCACAATGTTATAAACAATGATGGGCAAAAAAACAATATATAAAACTCACTTTTTGGTTTCAAAGTCATGATGGGCTTGACCTAGAACTCTGGATCTAAATGCCCCTGAACTTTGGAGCGTTCAAAATCTGCATCTGTATTTGAATGTTCCATCTCAGCTTTTCAGACGTATTCCTTTCCAAACAGCTCCTGAGAATGAAACCTAGACTTATGTGCCCCTATTGTGATGAGCTATTGGTCTGTTCCAGGTTGGTGATTAATCATAGAATAGAATCATAGATTCTTATATTATTATTTATTGGGGATGCTGTATAGCAGTGCAACACCTGCTTGATACAAAAACGATTGTTGATTACACTTGTAATTACATTTATGGTACACTGAGCAATGCCTACAACAGATGCTTAATGTAAAATCCAGTTCTGGATGTTGCCCATCAAATGCATGGCTTTTAAAAATTCTTTTTTCTTCTCTTTCTTCTTTCCTTTTCTTATTTCAGGAGCAAGATGTTTGTGAATGTTAATCTCTCTCAGCCTTAAAAAAATTGGGAAAGGAAAAATGGATCCTTTATATTTTTCCAATGCTTTTGGCATGGAGGTCAGTGCCCAAGATGTAAATTCCTCCTCACTGACGAACATGACGGACAATAGGACTATAGCAGGACTTCCTGTATCCAAAGATGTTCACACAGTTCTTATCTCTATCATATACTTCCTTGTATGTGCAATCGGACTCAGTGGGAACACCTTGGTCATTTATGTGGTTTTGCGTTATGCCAAGATGAAAACAGTCACCAACATTTACATCTTGAATTTAGCCGTAGCCGATGTACTCTTCATGCTTGGCTTGCCATTCCTGGCTACTCAGAACGCCATCTCTTACTGGCCCTTCGGCTCCTTTTGGTGTCGGCTTGTTATGACCGTAGACGGCATTAATCAATTCACCAGTATCTTTTGCTTGACTGTCATGAGTATGGATCGCTACCTTGCAGTAGTTCATCCCATCAAGTCCACCAAATGGCGGCGTCCAAGGGTGGCCAAACTGATCAGTATAACAGTCTGGACTTTCTCGTTTTTGGTGGTTCTTCCAGTCATTATATTTTCAGATGTTCAGGAACACCTTCACACCTGCAACATGAACTGGCCAGAGCCAGTAAACATATGGTCAGCAGTCTTCATCATTTACACATCGGTTTTAGGATTTTTTGGACCCCTGCTGGTGATCTGCCTCTGCTACCTGCTGATTGTGATTAAGGTCAAGTCTTCTGGGGTCCGAGTTGGGTCCACAAGGCGCAGGCGGTCAGAGAGGAAAGTGACCAGGATGGTGGTCATCATTGTGGTCGTCTTTGTGTTTTGCTGGCTCCCGTTTTATATACTGAACATTGTCAATTTGATATCCACCTTGCCAGAGGAGCCTGGGTTACTTGGGGTTTACTTCTTTGTGGTGGTTCTGTCCTATGCAAACAGCTGTGCCAACCCCATACTTTATGGATTTCTCTCTGACAACTTCAAGCAGAGTTTTCAGAAAGTTTTATGTCTCCGGAAGGGGAATGGCGTTGAAGACGGCGATCCAACCAAGCACAGGCAGGAAAACAGCAGCCGCTTGCAAGAAGCAATGCTAACCCAGAGAAACATGGAATTCAATGGACATATGCAAACAAGTAAGGTGTGAGGTCCTGGCTTGAAAAACTGTAAATAAACTGCAGAGCTGAAAAACTGGGGGGGGATGAAAATCAGAGATGAAACTGAAATCCTGAGACCCACAAGCTCAGACAAATGTACATAGATTCCCCCTCCCCATGACAGAATTATGGATCATATTGGATTCTGTGGAATGCCTAAGGCATGTAGCTAAAGCAATCGGACGTATTATCACTTTCTCTTTCTATATGCAGAGGACAGATTTAGTGGTACATTCTGGCTGCTGTGTGCCGTTCTGGTGATGCAAAGCAGCTGTGAGCCTGTTTTAACCATCCTATTTGCTTTGCATTGCTGGATCAGCAAAAAGCAGAGAGTGTATTGGTTCATTTGCCCCAAAGTATTCTCAATAGTTGGGTAAGTGAATGTTTTATATTAAAAAAGGAAAAAGCACTATTTCTTAAGTGGCAGTTTTCAAAGTAACATAGCTCACAGCACTAATTTACTGATCTTGGAAGTAGGCATATGCCATAGTTTGGAAGTGCTGCTTAACCATTTGCATTGTTTTACTGTAATTATCCCACATAAGAGACTCCAAATGCCCAGAAGCGTTTCAAGTCAATTGAAAGAAAACCCAGCCCAGAAATAAAAATACCTTGAAAAAGAATTATTAAATGAATGTGAAATGGAAAATTCATCCATAGTGCGTATAACAGTCTAATCCAAGCTGCTTATGAATTGTAACGTCGTCACTTTATTACTATGTAAATGACAGTGATTGTGAAGTCCTGAAAAGCTGTTTTGTGTCTATTTATTGGTTCTGAATGTAAGTATGGATCTGAATTTAAATTGTATTTTCAGAAATTAAAACACGTTGAATTCCCTCTTGGCTAGCAGGCTCGTATCTTTTCCTACCATTGTAAGTCACCACATGCTGAAACTGATACAGCTTTGTCCTTGATGCTTAACTTATCATAGATCCAACTATTGTTATTATTTATTATTTGTATGACAGTAGGGCCTACGTGCTACAGTCCAAATCAGGGGCCCATTGTGCTAGGCACAGTACTAACACCTAATGAGAGACCTTATACCTTGACGAGCTTACAGTTGAAGTAGACAAGACAGACAGAAAAAGAGAGGTCAGTGACAGATCCAGGAAGGGCACCTCAATCTCCTGAGTTCCAGCCCAGTGCCCCATCCAATGGACCAATCTACTCCTCAGCCGAAAACGAGAAAGGAATACTGGTATGCTGTTTTCCTCTTGCCAAACTAGCGCCTTGGTTTTCTAATCCTGAAACAAGCTATTTATTTTGCCTAGAGATTGCTTCTTGTCACTACTGCTGTTCAAATAACTGTAGCCCTCCTATAAGTATGTTTATTTGTATGAAAGAAAGGACCTGGAAGCATGGAAGTAAGAGATAGAAAAGACCTATTCCAACAGGCCTTCTAAGCTAGCCCTTCAACCTTTACTGGATTGCTCCCTGCAGTACATGGGCCTTTTACAGCTTATCTTGGGAAGCTTTGCTGAGCCCTAATATACCAAATAAATGTCAGCGTGATATTTGTACAAGCAACGAGACAGTCTATTCAAATAGCTGTAAACAGAACATGATAACTTGGTCCTATTTATATTGCAAGGAACAATATTAGAAGAGTTATTGTGGAGTAGGAGGGCTTATTCGGAGGTTCTTGTTAAGTTTTACACATATGCGTATGATTTTGAAAAATTACGTTGGCAGCTTGAGATACACACGTTTTTCCTTACTAAAATGTAAACACCAGGTTGTTAGTGTAGGGTTTTCCAGGGTTTTAAACCATTGGGAGAAAAACTAAGTCCATACGTAAAACTATGAATTTTTGTATCAAGCTAAGAGAGCTCTTGAGAAAAATGGAGCCAATGGACCAGATTCCCTGCTGGCATAAAGAGGCATCGCTCCATGGACATGAAATGAGCAATCTTGAGTTATGTCAGCTGAACATGCGCCCCGAGATTATTTTCACAGTCGTTTACTTTGGGTCCTTAATGGGGCGAAGATGATGCCACTTCTATGTGGAATGAATCGGTAGGTGTCAGTCCAGTTCCAAGTGGACCCGTGTCACTCGATGATTGCCTGTTCTGTTAATTCCTTCTGAAGCATCTGGCATTGGCCGCTGTCAGAAGACAGGACATTGGGCTAGCTGGAGCATTGGTTTGATCCAGTGTGGCCGTTCTTATGTTCTTATATATTTCGGGTACATATAAGACCATGACCACATCTAGCATTAAAGATCTGATCCAAAGCTACTGAAGTTAATTGATTTTAGGAGACTTTGGGTCAGGCCCTTATTGAAAAGTTTCTTATTTCAGCAGAGAGAAGCCAAGATTGAATGGGCTCGGAGCAGCATTAGCCACTGATCCCTGGATGTACTGGGTGAAATCCAGGCTGCAGTGAAGTCAATGGGAGTTTTGCCATTGATTTCAATGAGGCCAGAATTTCGTCTATCTACACGTTGTTATCTGAACCCTGCTGCTTATCCAAATTCATCTCACATGCTGTGTTCCGTACAGATATCCGTATGCTGTATTATTTGTATGGGATATAAAGGCCACCTTCCCGGGGCACGACTTTTCCCTTTTAGGAGGCCCTGTAAAAATAGGTGCATACAGTGCTTTTTATTGTAGATCTCAAAGCACTTTACAAAGCAGGTCACTATCATTATCCACATTTTACAGATGGGGAAACTGAGGCACAGAGCGGCAGAGTGACTTGCCCAAAATCACCCAGGTGGCCATTGGCAGAGCTGGAAATGGAACCGTGGCCTCCTACAGCCCAGTCCTCTAACCAGTGGGCCACGCTGCAGGTTGGATGAGATCAGCCCCTGTAATTTGACAATGGAACTATACCAGCTTAAGCGCTGGCCCCAAAAAAATTAATAATAAGCAAGTTTGGTTTCCATCTGACGTTATGTCCAAGACACTGAGAGTGGATTTTGGGTCAAGCTGTGAGGAGCTCACCTTGATGTGTTTCATATCAATCAGAGTAATGCATATACTAGGCTTCCAGTGTAAATAAAACCCAAATATTAATTGTTAACTAAGCTCAGAAAATGCTGGGTGATCAAAGCGCTTACCCTGGGCACGCAGACGGCAGCTGGCCTGCCCCTGCAGTCCTGTGGCGTGTATCATATACCAACCTAGCGCACACTTGGCTTTCTTCACAAAAAAGCAAATATTGTCAGTATATGACAGAGAGATCTTCCAGAAATGCTTTTGCAGCAATATACCAGGTCACTAAATCACATCAGAGCACGGTTCCACCACCACTTTAACAAAGACAGAGATACTAGGGGAAGGGACTACCTGTGAGGTCAAAATTGAGAATAAAGTTGCTCCCCTCCCTGCCCCCTTCAGTATTCCATGACAATATCATGGCTCTACAAATACGGGGCAAAAATCTGCCATGTAATATAAGTCTAACCCACCGAGATGGGTAGGTAAATGCACTGCAGATGCAGAATTAGGTACGAACGTTTCCTTTATGTTAATGGCTGAAAGGCCACCTTCCCGGGGCACGACTTTTCCCTTTTAGGAGGCCCTGTAAAAACAGGTGCATACACGTATGTACGTAAGCGGGGCTTGTTCCTACTGACTCTTTGGCTGCATCCCGTCAGCCATGGGTCCTCCAGGAGTTGCTACCATTGTGTAAACCTCCCTCGCACCTCTCTTAGGCAGTAGCTTGAAACCACAATGCAGCCCTGTGTCAACTGGTTGATTTATTCATGCAATGCATATCTATTTCCTGAGTTATCGGCACATTGCAGGCACATGGCAACCCTCCCTTAGCTACATGGACCAATGAGCGCACACATTTTGTTCCCATTCCACCATTTCCATCTGCTGCCACCAGTTGATTAGCTGTCGTACTGAGAAAACCCCTTTAAGTCTACAAATATGTTTATAAGTGGCAGTAATAATGAATTACCCCACACAGGGATGGTGTGGGGCTTAGTGTCTGTCAAATGCTCTGCAAACATGCAAAGCTATGCAGTGCTATTCAATGTGCACTACTAAGTGGTCTGGAACATCAGCATCTACCGGGTAACAGCTGGGGCCACCATGACATGGAGGAAAGAAACAGAGTTGGGTCCACAAGACTGGTAAAGCTGGCTGGCTCTAGTGATCAGTGACTTGTCTCTGTGAAGCCAAATACGAAAAGGGTCATAATAACTGGGCAGGGAGTTGGTGGGTGCTATTCCCAGCTCTGCCATGGCCTGCTGAGTGACCTTGGAAAAATCACTTTGCCTCAGTTTCCCCATTTTACAAATGACACTCATCTCCTTGGTAAAGTGCTTTGAGATCTATGGATGAAAAGTGCTAAACAAGTGGTAGGTATAATTTATTGAGTGCCACCAATATGCATGGTGCTGTACAGAACACAGAGAAGCCAAAATCCCTGCCTTTGGGACCTTACAGTTTAGGAGGCCAAGACAACATCCAGTATCCCAGGTAACCAGGGAATGAAAGGTGTTGCCAATACAGTGTTGCCAACTCTTGTGATTTTCTCATGAGTCTTGCAAAGTTTTTCTTAAAACTCCAACTGCTGGAACCAAGAGATTGCTTGAGAATCTCAGCTTTCATTTAAAACAAAAGGTAAGTTTCTAGCCCTCATGGTTTTGAAGAATGTGAAGCAAGTAAATCCTAAAAGTCAAGAAACCAGAAGGCAAAGAAAATGAACCTCAACTTTCATTATCTTAAAAAATGTCCTGATTTTTAAGCCACTCTCATCATTTTTGAAGCCTGGGTCATCATTTTTAAATGCTTGGGGATGGCAATTCTGGTTACATATGAGATAGTTCTACACAACTAGGAAAGCGAGCATTTAAAGTGTTATATCTGTCCTTTTATAGCTTAAGAAAATATTTATAATTGGACAGGGCCATTATAAGGGTTGGACTAATTACAAATGAGAAGCTAGTTTGATACACAGGCCTACTTGGATTAGAGATAAGACCATTCTACAATTTTCAGTTCCCGAACTGGATCCAGACTTCAAACTATTCCAAATTTGGCCCCGGGCTGGTTGGTTTGGCTCATTATAGAGCGAAAGGGGCCAGTCACACAATTCAGAATCAGATCTAGATTTAAAACCCAACTCCACAAAGTTCAGAGCTCTTCGGATCTGACCTCAGTGTATTTGAGATGCATTTTCAGGTAGAAGCCTAGTGTTTCCAGGAGCACTTTGGAACTGTTGTTTTAAAAGAAAAAAAAGAAACCATAGAACTTTTTGCAGTTCAAATCAAGCACTGAGACGCGGATCCTCAAAGGTATTGAAGCACCTAACCCATTGGAGTTAGGTGCCTCTGTACCTTTGAGGATCCGGGCCCTAATGACTGGGGACATGTGAAGAAACATGGATACAATGGATGGAAGAACGAGTGAGTTGTGTGTCTGTGAGTGAGTGAAAGAGAGGGAGACACATATCCTGTGCAAAGCAGCGTTTCACCAGGAAAGCAGCCAAGAACTTTCACAAGGACCAGCAGCTGGGGAAGAATGGAACTATCACTCTACTGGGTGAGAACAGCTGGGAAGTGCTGACTTCAAATGCCAACCTCTCTGTAGCAGTAAGGGCATTTTTTTTCTTTTCTTTTGAGAAGCCAATGTCTAACATTTTGACCACTTTGAGCAGCGTAGGGAGCTAATGAGGTGCTGTAAATGAAGATCCAGAATTTTATTGCTTTGCACACACAGATATAGTGCTGTACCCGGAGATATCACTGTTACAATAGTGCCATGTGCTTAGGCATTATCTGCTTTTCTTTCCGTGATCATTTTATAACACCCCGAAAAGAAAAGCAAGTGATGCTTGATGCTAACATGCTTTACAAACATTAATATTTTCC